AGAATGAGGTGTTCATAGCTGCTACAATATATATGAACCTTGGAAACATAATGCTACGTAATGGCAGTTGGTCACAAAGGACCAGGTACAGTCTGACCCCCTTTCTGTGAAATGTTTAGAATAGCAAACCTATAGAGAGAGCACATAGCTGAGTCATTGGCCAGGGCTTACAGATTGGGCAGAAAGGAGGTGGGGATGCGAATTGGTACCATGTTTCTTTTCAGGGGCCTAAAATTGACAGTGATGATGGTTGCCCAACTCTATTTTAAAAAAAAATAGAATTGTACACTTTAAATATGTGAATTGTATGGTATGTGACTTCTATTGCTAAAAGCTGTTTAAAAAGAGAAAAAGAAGCACTAACAAGTAACCAAAGGAGAAAGAGAATGAGAGAGATAGAAACCTACACCTTAGGGAGGGGGTGGTGGCGGCTCGGAGAGAGGGACCTCTTCTTTCCCAAGGTGCTGTAGCACCATCACGGAGTGTGATGATGAGACTGGTCCCTCAGGTAGCGTCTCTGTCTTTCTATTCACACAAGCCAAAGTCGATAGAGACCTAGTGTTCTGGTGAGCAACACTGCACGACAGACAGCCTGGTTCCGATGAGGCACGGAGGCTATAGGAAAAGAAGGCTAAATGGATAACCCATCTTTCCAGTCAGCGTCTTTTATTAAAAGAGAAGCAGTGCTGTGTTTCAGGTCACTTGAAGTATTTGTCATCCTTTTATCATCCTTTCCACGTTGTCAGCTATCTTCAATCATTATTTAAAATGTGAACTTTCAGAAGAATGATACAATCTGACTTATTGTGCTTAGCTTTTTTTTTTAATGGATTTTTCAAATTTGTGAGTGTTATGAAACAAAAAAAAAGCCTAACCTAATCCAAGCTGACCTCACCTTCTAATCACAATGAATTCTACCCTGTGGAATACTTATTCTTGCTAAAATTTATTGTTTTGGTATTGTTTCAACGTGTACTGGGAACCACTGTTGTTGGCCCTGCTATTGAGGTTCCCAAAGTTCAGCATGCAGGAGATAGATCCAGCGGTCTCAGCAAAGCATGATGAACCTCAAGGATGCCAAGGACAAGGAAATGACAGTTACAGTGATAGTGGAGCCATTGCAAAGAACCCGTGGCTTTTACAGTCTGAAGAAACCATGGAAAATTTGAATAAGAGGTAGCCTCACCTTTTCCTTGTTGTTTTCAAAGAAGGATTGTCACATGATTTGTGATTTTACCAGTTCCAGCAGCCCCTTGGCAGTCTTTCCTGCCTTCTCTTTCCATTTTTTAAAAATGTTTGCATTGCCTTAAAGCCCGCCGCAATGCCATCATCACCTGATCTTCCTGCCTCTGGGACACCAGCATCTCGACTCCCAGTTAGGAAGCTTTCTTCTTGTCAGTTCTTGAATTTGTCAAAATTGCATCTGAGCCCTAAGTCAAACCTATATTGCTAGATTGTGGGGGGAGATCTAATAGGTTAATTTTTTTTTCTAATTTAATGGCTAGACCTATCAGGAGGATGCTGTGTGTGAGCAAGGGATCCTAAAAGCCCAAATCCTTTCTCATACAAACAGAAATGGCAACATCAGCCCCAACAGGCCTGAGACAGATCATTTTGAATGAAGGCCATATCTTAAGTAAAAGTCCGCATCAGTCCCCACTGGTGGCTAGTTTAAAATTATATGAATTTGATCCTGTGCTCACCTCCATATTATATATTTCTCTATGATTTGTAATATCATTTGCTAAGATGCAATTAATAAATGAAAGCCATTTTTCATTTAGCTCATCTCTCATTTAGCCCTTACGTGTTTAGACAGATAATCACAAGGTTAGTGGTTCAACCCCACCAGGAGCTTCATAAGCAGACAATGGGATCAGCTGCTTTGGAAAGATGGACAGCCTCAGACACCCCATATAGGCTTATAGGGTTATTCTGAGTCCGGATGCAGAACGATGGGCCAGTAGGTTTGGTTTGGGCTTTTCAGTCAGCCCTGAGATGATGAGCTATTTTTATAGGCAATTTCTAGAACAGTCATGACAGTGACAGCCTGGAGAGATGAAAAACCTATAGGGGTAGTATGAATTGAATAGAGGGGTAACTTATGCTCTCTGAGGCCAAGTTTAGTGTCCTTTCCTGAGCCAGTTGTCCTTGAGCAGATTCCAACTCATGGTAAACCCCATGCTTCAGAGTAGAGCTGCGCTCCACAGTCTTTCCAAAGGCTGGTCTCCAGAAGTCCATCCCCAAGACTTTCTGCCAGGTGGACGTGAAGCTTCAACTTCAAGGCCAAGCATCTTCTTCCCTAGTGCACACCAGAGCAATCTGTTTAAATCACCGAGGGAATCTCATGGCATTCCTCCTGTTCCTGCTTTCTAGGGGCATTTCCCATCTTTGTGAGATTTGACTTTCAGACACTGTTTAAGGCTCAGGGTCCTCATATCAGTTCATCAGGCTGACGTGTTGGCTTCTCCATGACAACCTGAACCCTGACTGCACACCTGGATAGCAAGTAACAAAGACTGGGCGCTCTGCTTTCTTTCTCATCCTAGATTTTTGCATCAGAATGGCAGTAGTGTGAAAATTTTGTCGATAATGTAGGCAATGTTTCAACTTACATTTCAGAGACTAGAAAAGAAATTCTTCTTTTAACTTTCTCTTTTATTATTATGGCTATTCTCACACACGGACACCTGACGAAATAGAGGAAAGATGCAGAAGATCTTATCATTTATTTTACATCCCATGGAACATTTTTTGTCTAGGAAAACTCACCATATCTGAGGATACAGTTTAACTGCTTGTCTTTGCCCTCCTCCCGTTTTAAACATTGCATGTAAATAACAATGGGTCAGATCTTCCATAGCCTTGGCAGGAACTGTTCACGGTGACATTGGCCTTGTTTGGATTTGCTTTGCTGAGTTCTACCCTCTCATTTTTTTAAGATGGAAAATACTGTTTCGGACCTCCTCGAGCCTGCCCCCTTTCTCAATCTGGACAACGCCTTTCCTTTTGCTATTTATTTTGGGTTTTTCTCTTATGACATAAAAGTACTTTTTAGTTCAAATACTTATTCCCATCTCTCTGATAAAGCACAGTTTGATTTGTAGCTAATTGTAGTCACTGGTTTTCATTATTTATGAATGTCATTGTCAGAATCCATTTGGAAGTCTGACCGAGATAAGGCTGATTCCAACTTCTGATATGACCAAGGCAATAAAGCAATTAGCCACACTTGTTAGAATGTGTTGTGGCCTGGACGGTGCTAATATCTTGACAACCAAATATTTGCTATATGGTGCGTAAATATTTGATTTATTTCCTGGAAGATTCGACATTCAGTTTTATGGCAAGCAACTTATAAAATCCTCTGTATTAAATAAAAGGTATGCTATTACTCCTATCAACAAATTGAATTTTTCAATAGTTTAACAGGTAGAGGTAGAAGGATGGAATCTATGAGTGATATAAAAGTGTAGTATTCTTAAAAAGCTTGATGGTTCTGGGGTGGCATTTAAATCCATCTTGGTTTACATGTGCATTTCATATACTTTGTATACTTATCTTGATTCTGGTTGACACCTCCGTCTCAGATGACCATGTTGACATGAGATAAAACCACACATAACTCACTGCCATCGAGCCCATGCTGACTTTCTGAGGTGACTTTCTGAGGCGCTCCTTTTTATAGGAGTAGAAAGCCCAGTCCGTATCCTGGTTTTGAACTGACAACCATGCAGATCGCAGTCCGGCGTGTAAGCACGCCACCCCCAGGACTCCATAGCCACACGTGCGCTTCCTTAAAGCATACCTTGGCGCTCTCTTTCTCTCACGAGTATTATAAAACACATATGAAATTTCAAGAATAAATACAGGATTGGAAAAGTCATTAATAACAGCAGTCATTTTAAAGTGTCACCTAATTTAAACACTTTTGCTTTAAGTTATTGCAGTGTCATGAGTTTTATTATGCTCGATTTATTAGCAAAGGCCTGCAGGGTTCACAGCCATTTATTTTTCAGGGAACTTGATTTTATCATTAATTTTTAAATACATAATGCTTCCACTTTATTTTTAGAGTGCACTTTATTTGCAAAAATTGGTTTACTCTGATCAATACAGATGTTTCCAGGTGTTTCTAGAAACAAAACGTCTAGAAAGTCAGAGTCCAAAACATGCAACAGTTTTTCAAGATATTTTATACCAAAATATAGTCTGTACATACCCACATTGACATATATATATATTTACATGTACATCCACACATATGTACCTACATCAAATGCAATTATAGGTATGACGTATGTTTAGATTGGTGGCCAAGTTAAATGAGGAGACTGACCACACCTGTTCCCATGTAATGCACACCTTAAGGTACACCTGTGTTCATCTAATGGAGTCCCACCTGGAGGGGAAGACCTGGTTGATGAGGACTGTAGCGAGCTAGGAGCCTGCTGGCACAGGGGTTAAAGAGTTGAACTGCTCATTGAAATGTCGGCAGTGGGAAACGCTCATCAGTCACTCTCTGGGAGAAAGATGTGGTGGCAGTCTGCTGCCATAAAGATGGACAGCCTTGGCGACCAAGTAGAAGGACAGCTCTACTCGGCCTTGCAGAGCCACTAAAAATTGGAATCTACCGGACCTTCATGGGATTTGGGTTTACAGTTGGGACACAGGAAGTAATTCAGACCACAAGTGGGCTAAGCAACATTAAGTCATTGATAACTAATTCTTCCCTCAGGTCCCATGCAGGATTGTTCTTAGTCGATGCCACTTTACTCGTTCTTCTGTAGAGGTGCTTATGGACTTAAGTTGGGGCATGTTTAAGTTGTCTCCCCCAATAACTGTGTCTACCTGACCATATAACATGCAAAGCTAATGTCAAAACCTGGTGCTGTTCATTGGAAAATATGAATGCTTGAGTATATTTTTAGAGAAATTTAAAAACAAAAACCTAAAACAAAACATACTCACTAGTTCTTATCTCTTTTTCCCCTAATTAGGACAGAATTTTACCCTAAGGCAGTTAGGAGTTTGTGAACCAGCAACTCGAAGAGGACTGGCATTTTGTGCGGAAATGGGGCTTCCCCACAGAGGTTACTCTATCAGTGCAGGGTCAGATGCTGATACTGAAAACGAAGCCGTGATGTCCCCAGAGCATGCCATGAGACTTTGGGGCAGGGGGGTCAAATCAGGCCGCAGTTCCTGCCTGTCAAGCCGGTCCAACTCAGCCCTCACCCTGACAGACACAGAGCACGAAAACAAGTCGGACAGTGACAGTGGTAAGTGTCATTTCCTTGGCTTTCTCCCGTTGGCGCTGACGATGAGCTTGTGTTTCCCCTTCTTTCCTTCCTTCCTGCCTCCCTCCTCGGCTCCTCTCCCCTGCCCTTCCTTTCCCTTGTTCTAATGTTTTAATGCAGTAGAAGTCAAGAAATGCCCTTGACTAAGGTGTCTTGTTTCCTTTTGTTTCTTGGAAAGCAATCAATACGCAACATCAGGTTGTTCAAGTGTGCGAGTAGCTATGCTGTGTTAGCTATGACTTTGAAACAAACAAACAAACAACACCACCACCATCAACAACAACAACAAAACCAGTTTCACAGGGTCGAGAAGGGAAAACAATAAAAAGGGGAGCTTTGATTTATCTTGGACTATGTCACCTGCTCACCTCTCTGGATTCGCGAAGCAGGTGGTGGTAAAGTTCTCACCAGAACCAGCCTGCGGCCAAAGATTCTTCCTGGCGATATCTCAAAGATGTTGCAGGACTCTTCAAGTGAGCAGGCAAAACAGTGTAGCAACAAGGCTCACATAATGGAAGAACAGATTTGATCATGCTTTAAACTTATTAGTCGATGAAAGCAATTGAACCCGTGGGAAAGAGGAGTGTGGCCTTTGATGTGCACCGGGACTGGAACGCTATGTCATGAACTCTACATCCCCAGTGTAGATTTGGGGAACTCTTAAGTAGGAGGGTGAATGTGTGTTTAAGAGAAGGAAAGAACAACAACACTGTCATTAATCATTGGTACCTTTTTTATTACTCTCAATGCAGGGTGATACAAGAACTAGTCATTTTATATAGATTTTATGTTGTTTAATAGAAAATGTGAAATGTACTCAATGCTCCTTCAAGGTAGCAGGGGGGCCTCCAGTTCCCTGCCCCAGACACAGCACCTTTCTCCCACAGTAGTTCATCTGGTGTTGTACTTACCAATCCAGTGTAACCATGAGTGCTTTGCCGAGACAACACTTTGAAAACTAAGATAGGAGACTTGTAAAAGACACTGGTTGTTGGACTAATGGTTCTGCACTTTTCTTGTTTATTGGGCAACTTTGTCAGCATTGCTTTATGATAGGAGAGCAGATCATATCAGCTTCTGATGTTGGCCAGTCACAGTAGGAATGAAGTACCTTATGTTGCTCTCCACTCATTCGTTGTTTCCTGTCTGCTCATGAAAAAAATGTCTAGTATAAACCAGGGAAAACAATTTCTTATCTGAGGTATACTTTAGTGCATTAAAACCAGAGTAAAAATCCAATCATAATGTGCACTTCCTACATTTATTTTGGCAGTGTCCATTCTTGGTGGAGTCTGGCTTTCTTTCAACCCCAAACAGGAAGCAAGGAACGTTCTCTCCCACTAAAGGAGTGTTGGATCAGCCCACCAACTGTTCCCTCAGCTATCAGTTTACCTCAGTAAATCTCCTGTTGATATCAGTTTTCATAGTAGATGCAGAAGTCACTAACTCATAGATCGAAGATGGTGTGAATAGTACTTCCTGCCCTTCCACATCTTCACATTACATTTATGAGCAATTGCAGGTATGGGGCTTATATTCAAATGTGGCACTTAGCATTTGATTTTCCCGAGACTCCTTGTACAATGGATAATGGTTATAGAAGAGAAATGTGTTGAATGTAGCAAGCTAATGCATTCAGTTTGAATAGCTACATCACAGATCATCCACATCTGTATCTGTAAATTATGCTTTTCACACTGGGTCAGCTTGCTGCTTGAATCCAAAACTTTTATAGCTATCTCTTTCTCACGAATAACAAGTTTATCTGTGCTGGTAAAATATAGAGTGATTTTATTATTTTATGAATTATATATCTGCCACTTCACAGTGAATTCCCAAAGCATATACCATTTGATTTTTTTTCCCTTTTCAGGAAGCATAAAGTAGAAACTGTGTCACTGTTAGTTGAGTGTACCCTGGTGGCATAGTTGTTCTGCATTGGGCTGCTAACCACAACGC